TGTCCAGAGGAGGGACAGTGGTTTGGACATGTCCAGAGGAGGGACAGCGGGTATATTGGTAGAAGGATGTTAGAAATGCAGCTGCCAGGAAAAAGACAGAGGAGACGTGTGGAGAGAGGACATGGAGGTAGTTGGAGTGAGGACAGAGGACACAGAGGACAGAGTGAGGACAGAGTGAGGTGGAGGAGGATGACTCGCTGTGGAGACCCTGAAGAGGGAAAAGCCAGAAGAAGAAGAAGAATATTCCAGACAGAGTTGGGGATTCCCTGACGGTTTAAAGTTTTTGCAGCTGGAGCAGATCAGATGAAGACGACTCTGACAGTTTATTTGTTGGAAATCAGGTTTTCTGGTCTAATCTCTCCGTCCTGATGATTCTTCTGTCTCACAGATGAAGAACAACAGTCAGCAGAGCTCGTGTGGGGCCTGCAGCGCCGCAGCGCTCGGTGCTTGTTGGGTCGTGTTGGTGCGTCCCGGCGGACCGCTCCGTCCTTCACGGAGGCTGAGATTTCACGCTCTGCTGTCTGATTGGACCCGCTCAGGATGGAGGGATGAAGAGGACGAGTGCAGGCAGGCTCTTCCTCACTAATGATCTGGCTTTGAGTCTCCTCGACTCCCAGTAACCCTACACGCCTCCTCCTCCTCCTCCTCCTCCTGCTCCTCCTCCTGCAGAGCTGCAGCAGGACAATCATCCGTTTCTAAAAACAGATAAATGTGATCTTTGAGTAAAAACATGCGATGACCGTATGAACGAGTAAAAACTAATATTTATACTTTATAAGAAAAATAAATTCATAAATAATTCTAACTTCATTAGTTTGGTGTTTTGCAGCTTTAGCAGCTTTTTGGCTGAAGAGACTCTTCAGATTTAAGTGATGTGATGAGAAGCTGATTGGCTGATCATCATAAACACCTTGTTTGTTTTTGTTTGTTCGTTGAGGAGCAAAGAGGGGGACATTCTGTCCATCTGTCCATCTGTCCATGCTGTGAGCTTAAAAATCTGAAAATATATGTGAGGTACCGACTTTCATTTTGGTGTGTGGCAACATCTAAATATAAGAACGGTTTATTTTGAAAAACTGGGTTTCACATCCAAGATGGCTGCCACCTTACATGCTAACAAGTTAACTTTGTGAACTGGTTAACTTTGCAACATCCCAACTTCTACTTTGTATCTAGGCATAAAAAAGGTCACTTTAAAAATTTGGGTTGCCAGGTAAAAATCCAAGATGGCTGCCACCATATAAATATTTAAACTAGTCCCCACTATCAGTTAAGGAAACTATGTTTTCTAATTTTTATATTGCTTGAATGTTAAGTTTCTTCAAAATGATTGGGGTGGCTGAATCTATGGGGTGAAGGCCACCAATGGCCACCCCCTGGCTCCTCCACTGCTCCTGTTAGGACGTTGGTGTCCCGCTTGTTTTATTAAAGCAGAAGCTCATAACTGCTGTCGGCTTCGACGAGCTCCTTCTTTGAGTGTGCAGCAGAAAGTGCTGATCTGTCATCTGAGTCTAGTTCCTGGTTCTTCCTCTGAGCATCTAGAGCTACACACAACCCACAGTTCCAGTTCCAGCACCAGTTCCAGCTCCAGCACCGGCTCCGGCTCCGGTTCCAGTTCCAGTTCCAGTTCCAGCTCCAGTTCTAGCTCCAGCTCCAGTTCCAGCTCCAGCTCCAGCTCCAGCTCCAGTTCCAGTTCCAGTTCCAGTTTCAGTTCCAGCTCCAGCTCCAGTTCCAGCTCCAGTTTCAGTTCCAGCTCCAGCTCCAGTTCCAGTTCCAGCTCCAGTTCCAGTTCCAGTTCCAGAGGTCTTTGTGGTTAATGAAAGTCATGAAGCGTAGTCTCTGATGCTCAGCTGAGAGTTGTCTGCTTTTATTTATTTATTTTTCTCATGCCCCGCCCATGAGTTCTGATTGACACACATTTGTGTCATCATTAGACAAAGTGTTGCGTAATCTTGTCATCACCCGGAGTTCAAGGTCAAGGTCACAAACCAAGGTTAAAGTCTGTACAAGGCGTTGCTGTAGACGTTTGTCGACAGGTGTTTAATGTGCCGCATGAGGTTCTCGTGTTGCTTCGGCTGAGTCTTCGGGTGTTGAAGACACATCTGTGTCTCTGCTGTTGGTTTTTGTCTTCAGGGCGGCTCAGAAGCTCAGTCTGTCCCGTAAGAAGAAGTCCCAGCCGGGCCCCTCCTCCACGCCCGATGAGGCCCAGGGGCCGCCGCTGGTGTTCACCGGGGGCTTCAGTGGAGCCCTGCAGCTCTCGCCGCCCGCCGTCCCACCATGTCTCCTTCGAGCGGGGTCAAAGGTGAAGGACACGCCAGGGATGGGAAAGGTAGGACGCCATGTTGGTCTGAGTCCAGTTTGGTAAATGGACAGCACCTATACAGCTCCTTTCTCTCTAATCAAGATACTCAAAGCTCTTTACAACACACTCTGTGCCCTCATGTACCTCCACACACACATTCAAACGGCTCTTTACTAGATCCACAGAATAATCAGAGCTTTGTCACGTTCATACTCTGACGGGACGCACGTCTCAGGCAGTGAGGGTTCAGTGTCTTCAACATGTGACTGCTGGTGGAATCAAACCCACAACTCTCCCAGTGGAGGTCGGCTGCTCTAACCAGTCATCCACAGCTGGTGGATCATCTGAGTGAGGAAGCTTCGTGTTTGTCTTTTCAAATGATCTACAGCAGACCTGAAGCTTCATGTGCGTCCACGCGAGGCCGAAGCTTTCATCAGATTCAGGGACGTTTGACTCTCAAAGACCAGGAGGACGTTTCAGAAACCAAACTGCACGTGGTGGCGAGGTGCGTCATGCTAACATGTTCAGTTCGTGGTGCCGAGACACATTTTGCAGCAATCCTTCAAACGAAACATAAATTAATAATTGGTTGATCATTTTCTGGTTCATCACCAGTCGTAAAAACTGGGAATATTTTAGCTTCTTCCAGTCTCTTGGGACATCTGACTGCTTTATAGATCAATTTATCAAAATATTATCAAGACCAAACTCATGTTCAGCTTTAAAGTCTTTAACAAATAATTAATTTTAATAATCTAATAACCAGTAGTTCTCTTATGTTTTAATTAAAGGGTTAAAATAAATATCTGTCTTTGAAACGACCCGTTTGTTCCTCAACTGATCGGACAATAAGTTATTAAACTCTTTAACGATCATTAAAATAATCAATACAATGATTAGATTTGTTGCTGAACTGTTTAAACTTTACAGATTAAAAACACGTGAAATGATTTATAAATCTGGTCTAACTGGTTTTTAATGTTCAGCGCATTTAAACACTTTGGCTTCAGAAGCTCAAAGACTCCAACAAACCATCAGGAGACAAACGTAATGGCAGAGAACTGTCCCGCTCGTCCAGCTCGTCCCGCTCGTCCAGCTCGTCCCACTCGCCCCGCTCGTCCCTCTCGTCCAGCTCGTCCTGCTCGTCCCTCTCGTCCCGCTCATCCCGCTCCTCCTGCTCGTCCTGCTCGTCCCTCTCGTCCCTCTCGTCCCGCTCGTCCTGCTCGTCCCTCTCGTCCCACTCGTCCTGCTCGCCCCACTCGTCCTGCTCGTCCCACTCGTCCTGCTCATCCCTCTCGTCCCGCTCGTCCCGCTCGTCCCGCTCGTCCCGCTCGTCCCGCTCGTCCCTCTCGTCAAGCTCGTCCAGCTCGTCCAGCTCGTCCAGCTCGTCCCGCTCATCCCACTCGTCCCACTCATCCTGCTCGTCCTGCTCGTCCTGCTCGTCCCGCTCGTCCCGCTCGTCCTGCTCATCCCACTCGTCCTGCTTGTCCCTCTCGTCCCGCTCGTCCCACTCGTCCTGCTTGTCCCGCTCGTCCCTCTCGTCCCACTTGTTCTCTCAGGCTCCAGACTGTGGAGCACTTCCTGGTGACCCGATCAGAACCCCCGATGGACCGAGCTCACTCGTTACAAGAAGAGAAGCGTCTCGTTGATTCATGGACGTTCAGCATCAAAATGAATCTTTTATCAAATCAGGATCTGAAGCTGCTGCTTCCAGCACGACGGCTCAGAGATAAGCCGACTGGAGCAAACCTTCAAACTGAGCTGAAGCTAATCTGACCAGGTGGAGTCAGGTGGAGTCAGGTGGAGTCAGGTCCTCTGGATGGTTCTTCTCTGCTGAAAGACTGAAGAAGTCTTTCAGCAGAGAAGAACCATCCAGAGGACCTGACTCCACCTGCCTGGATTATTAAGCAGGATGCTCTAAAGCTTTTTATCTTCTCTTCCTTCAGGGTTATCTTTGTTCCTGCCTTCCTTCCTGCTCGTTGTCCTTTCATTCGTTCATTTGTACTTTGTTTGCTCCTTCTTTCATTACTTCCATCATTTGTTCCTTTTCATTTATTCAATCCTTTCTTCAGCTGTCAGATCTAATGTGAATGATAGAAATGTTCTTTCTTTCTTTCATTCTTTCTTTCTTTCTTTCTTTCTTTCTTTCTTTCTTTCTGTATTTTTGTCTTTCTGTGGGCATTTGTGTCTTTCTATCGTTTTGTCTTTCAAAAAAGTCTAATCTAAAACATTAAAATAATTTTGCTGCAGATTATTGTTCAGTTGTGGATTGAATCACTGAGTGAGAACGTTTAGCTTTTCTCTTCCGTGGTTTCATAATAAATCCAGAGAATGGATGAATGAACAGATGAATGAACAGATGAATGAACGGATGAATGAACAGATGAATGAACGGATGAATGAACGGATGAATGAATGGATGAATGAACGGATGAATTACGGATGAACAGATGAATGAACGGATGAATGAACAGATGAATTACGGATGAACAGATGAATGAACGGATGAATGAACGAATGAATGAACAAATGAATGATGAATGAACTGATGAATGAACGGATGAATGAACAGATGAATGAAC